AGAGAATATTCTCTTTTAAAGTCACTTTTCAAATAAGGTGAAGAATAAGTTGACCGATATGAGAGCAAATAAAACTAACATCTAAATTACTCTACGGGGGGGTAGTGAGGGCCCTTTCTGTGTTGTCGCCGGGTAAATGTTTGTGAGGCAATGCGCCGGCCGCCGGTCGGCTCGCTCGGTCAAGCAGGTAAATGCCTCACACGCACCGATATATCCGAGGAAAAACTAAAGTCCCGTTCCCCAGTCCATGTGTGGTTTCCGGTGCTACGATCCGGCAAAGTGCGGAACAATCCATCGATGTTTCATCTTCCAACTGACCTATCCCTGTAGCTGTTTGTTCTGTCAGAGTCACGCCACTGCCCTAACCCTTTAATTGCTTTTCATTTAACAGTACCCCCCTTCCGTCCGCCGTCGTGCCCCGGCTGCTTCACTACTCCTCTCTAATTGCGTCAGTCATTAGGGTACGGTTTCCAGCCCGTCTGCTCTGGAGTCGGTCGATAATAACAATAGGAAGAATAAATTCAATCATTCGCGCTGCCTGTTTTATTTGATGTAAAAATCAGATTAATTATTGTGTAAGACAATAAGGAAATTGGAATTTTATCGACAGATTCCCTCCCTCCACTTCTTTTCACTTGAAAAACAAAGGTGCGATATCCTATCTTTCCAGGGGTGCTACACCCGTTTTTTTGGGGTGCTAAAGTGTGTATTTTTAGATTTTCCCAAATATTTTCTGAATGAGCAAACCAATAACAATTTGGGATAAATTGTCGCATTCCTCGCAAAATTCCGCGGCAAACGAGCCTACATGTGATAGGGTTCTGATAAGAAGTCAGCAAATGAAAAGCAAGTCAAAAAGTACAAAAAATTCTATAAATTTATGCACTTTTCAAACAGAACCTCATCACATGTAGATTCGTTTGACGCGGAATTTTGCGTAGATTACGAAAATAGGTCTTAAAAGAATCCAATTTTATTCCATAGAAACGAAATATTTCGAAAAACAAAAACTGTAATGCCTTTGGAGCTTTAGTGCCCTTTTAAAGGATATCCTACCTTTGTTTTACCAGTGTTCTCTCTCCCATAATTTGAATATTCACAAAACTTTACAAGTTTTACCCCGGCCATTGGATTAGCCACGGCCGGGACGCGGCGCTGCGCGGCGCGCCAACGTCCAGTCCGGAGTCCCCTTCGGTCCCCCGCCGGTTCTCTTTGGTCCCCTCCGAGGTGTCGACGCGCTGATACAGCCATCATCCTCGGTCCGGACCCGGCGCGGATCGAGCTGTAATTATCTCTATCTCGGAGGAGATCTCCTCTTGATCGTGAGCCGTCGCGGCCCACGCGTGTCGTTTTTTCGTTCACCCCCGGCGCCGCGCCCGTCTCGCAACCTCCATACTATATGTGTATCCCCACCCGCAAAAGTGTGGGGATGTCTCACACTACTGGTTGGTGTGTGTGAACGCCATTCGTACACATGGAGGCGGTCGTCACAAAGTATATGTGTGAAAGGAAAATTCACGACCCTTTTTACCACCTCAAATGCGACACTCACGCACACACTTGCTTATCCAGTGTACAACTGCTTTGCATTTCACCGGTGAAAAGTGAAAAAGGGCGTAAGTCCTCGGACTTCCCGTTGGACTTACGCCCCCTTTTCACTTTTTATTACCAGTGGTATTCGTGCTCCCGCAACATGCGCCGCCGCCATCGCGCGCCTCCTCATTGGTCCAGCGGTTGCCGTGGCGACGCGACGCCATGGTGACACGCGGGTGACAGGCGTGATGGATCACGAGTGGGGGAGGGGAGGCTGCGGGCGGCCC